AACAGACAAAAGAGAAGAGAATTTAATTAGCATTAGTTCCATAGGTATCAATATGTGATAAAGATTAAACAAATACTAGAAGTTTGTCAACCTTTAATACCTGGAACAACTGAAACTTGATCTGAAACATAACAATTATGTGCTCTCAGAAAGTAAAGAGAACAATTTAACATATCTGAGTTGTGCTGTTTCAACTTCTTAGAAATTGTTGTTTCCAAATGACCATAGTTGCAAGGCATGAAAAGGTTAACATTCTTACAAAGGTTTCTGTACAACATCAAGCAGCACACTAAAAGAAGGTGTGTGTGTCAGCATTTACATATCTACAAAGACATTTATACAGCTTATACATAGGGCCTCATAATTATTTGATGTCCCTGACAAAATCAATTATGTCACTTGACTTGTAGAGTTTGAAACTTACCCTGTTTGAAGCTGAAATTAATGATAAATCATTAGCTTTAGATAGAATCCTACCTCATTATAAATGATCTCAAAATTGACACTCCCCTGGTTTTAGTCTAATGAACCTGACTTGCATAAGGATTAAATGAAAGAGAGCATGGGTGTAAGACTGATTCCTTCCAATGGATGAGTGTCACTATAAGATTTCTCATTGTTTTTTTTGGTCATTGGAAATTTTTTGGATATTTTCTAGTTTTTTTTAGACGTCACTTATACCTCCATTGGCTCATCATTTTCATCATGAATGAAAGGTTTCACCCCATGGTAATCAATGATAGATCCCAATGAATGATCTTGAGTCCCAGACTGGTCAATTGATTCAATGGCTCTGTCAATTTCACCAACATCCACATCACCAAATGACATAATATCAGAATCATCCCTTATGTCAAGCCAGTGGTCTTCAATTTCATCTTCAAGATGATCAAATGATGTTGCATCAGGGTTCAAATCATCAGGGACTTCCATATCACCAAACGTTCCATTCAATAACTGGAAAATCAGGGATGCATGTTTCATTCGCCATATTTCTATTTTTGATAGGACATCATCGAGATTGAACAGATGATGGCAGCACTGCATAATCTGATTGATATGGAAATCTGTAAACTCCATCATGACCTTTGGTGTAGATTTTTCTTGATATGTGGTGAACTCTTGTTTGAAAACATTCTTTAATGATAGAAGCCTCATCAGCAGATCATCTTTTTGCTGCTGTGTTACTAATCTCACTCTTGTTGGGACTGGTACAACCTCCTTTTTTGAGAAATGAAGGATTTGTGCAGAGCATGGGATGGTACAAGAACATTTCAAGAGACAAACATCACAGCACAAACAACCAAGAGTAGTAGCTATGGGATGACTGCCAGGGAAAATGCTCTCAATATTCTTTCGCCTACATTTATCACTTGTGACATATTCCTTCATGTCAGACTGACAATGACTTGTTAGAAATCCATTGTACAGTAGATAACAGAAGCTAATCTGTCCATCACGTCCAGCTCTGCCGCATTCTTGAATATATGCCTCAATGCTTTTTGCGGGACCAAAGTGTACAACCCTGTGCACTTGCTTGCAATCGATACCCATTCCAAAGGCTGTTGTCACAACTAAAATTCGAAGATAACTTTTTTCAGCGCCAACCTCTTTCAGCACATGCTCCTTGACAGAAGATGGAGTACCAGCATGAAACATTTCCACCAACCTGCTTCGAAGATTGGAACTGCTATCAGCATACAACATTTCCCCAAGTTTCAGCTGGAATGTCCTCCAAATAAGAGCACACTGGTTTCTTGTTTGACAGAAGATTATAGTCCTTATTGTTTCAACACCCTTTTCTGCCAATTCATCCAGCAACTCTGAAAATAGGACCTCAAACTTGGTGTCATTGCTAACATACTTGCTGAAGAACAACAAGTTATTCTTCATTGGACTCTTTTCAATGACATGCATTGATGAACTTTCCAAGTTTAAAACTGAATAGATAGCAGCTTTTGTTGCTCTTGAAGCAGTAGCAGTGAAAACAGCTAGCTTCACTGATTGATCAAGAAATTATCTGATTTCGCCAAGCTGACCATACCACTTTCTGAAGGGAGCTTGTTGGCCAACATTAAGACCCCTAAGAACAAATTAAATTGATTTAAAAATGATGAAGTGTAGTAATCCAGACATATACTAAATTTGATAAACTATTGGCTTTGATTTTCAATAAAATTTTTGTGTTCATGTTAGCCACAGATTTTACCCAATATTTTATTACAGATAACATTCTAAGGACAACTGCCACCCATGTCTTGAAACTAGTTGTGTTACAAGCATGATAAAAAGATGTTGTTAAACAAAATATCTTGCTAATGAAAACTCACGCTTGGTGATAGACCCTCTTGAAAACAAAATATTGTCCTTGTTTTTTCAAAGGGAAGTTCTTGCAGGAATTACATTGGGGGTCTGAAATAGAGAAGCCCTATATTTTGGAAATGGAAGCCCAGATGGAGATTTAAATATGAGCAAAATTGTACACCTCAGATGGAGGTAAAATATTGCATTTTCTGCAGTGTGTTGTGTTGCTTTCATATGGACTGCCTTTGCCCCATATGTACCAGAGATGCACTTTTATAACTCTAAAAAATACAGTTTGACACATACCATTGTGCTATACAATGGGCTTCATCAAATGCAACGCAGACACAATAATCCTTGAATGCAGTGGAGGACAGAAATCGTCGCCATCGACATGTTGCCAACATTGATTCGGGTGACGTGAATATTATATTATATACCCCGCCATTTTCAATTTCTAGCAGCACTTCCTCTGACTGATCAGCATATATGGCAGCCGTATTGATACCCAATGCTCTAAGCTTTGATACTTGGTCGAGCATTAAAGACTGCAACGGAGTTACAACAAGAATGCAACTTGGTAAAGTGAGCTGGTCCATCAGATAATCATTGACGAATGGTATGACTTGATAAATCAGGGACTTCCCATAACCAGTTGGTGCGCTGAAATACAAATGTTTTCCTCGGAAAAAATGTCGTAAAGCCTCCAGCTGCTCTTCATGCATCGAACTTATCCCAAACATTGTCCTCGCAAACCCTAACCCTTCCTCGAATTTTTCTTTGTTCCAAACAGCAATATCTCTCACAGTAACACGTTTCACGGTCGCCATTTCGAAATCGAGCAAAAACGTGACTTTTTAAAAACGCCGCGCGGATTAGAGCGGTTCGATAAGACAATAGGGTAGTCGCGTTATCCAATGGAATCATCTCCCAAAAAATTGGGAGATAGATTTGATTGGTCCTTAAACAATAAAATAACAAAAGGGCTGCTTGACGTTTCGATTGCAAACGAGGCGGGAACAAGCCTCTTGACTTTAATTCGCAGACTCTACTCTTCGGGATAGAAGTGTCTGAGGCTGCGCGCAGGCTAGCAAGCAAGGGCAAAGAAACTTTCTGCCGGCCAGAAAAAAAGAAATATCCCTAACAAAGTCGAAAAGCGATTGAACAGCTATGAAAGAAATCTTGATGTTTTGATAGAAATTTTTTTTTGTAAAACTGGGAGGGGCAAGGAGGGGCAAAGAACCTTTCTGCGGATTATTCTATTTCTGGGGGCCGAAAAAAAAGAGAGATCCCTAACAAAGTCAACAAACGATTGAACAGCTATGGAAGAAATCTTGATCTTTAAATATAAATTTTTTTGGTAAAACTGGGAGGGGCAAGGAGGGGCAAAGAACCTTTCTGGGGGCCATTCCATTTCTGGGGGTCAGAAAAAAAGGAAGGTCCCTAACAACGTCAAAAACGTTTTAACAGCTTTGGAAGAAATCTTGATGTTTAAAAAGAAATTTTTTTTAAAAACTGGGAGGGGGCAAGCAAGGGCAAAGAAGCTTTCTGGGGTCCATTCCTTTTCTGGGGGCCAAAAAAAAAACAGCGCTAACAAAGTAAAAAAACATTTGAACAGCTATGGAAGAAATCTTGATGTTTACTACAGAATTTTTCTAAAAAATTGGGAGGGGGCAAGCAAGGGCAAAGAAGCTTTCCGGGGTCCATTCCATTTCTGGGGACCAGAAAAAAAAGAAAGATTCCTAAAAGAGTCAAAAAACGATTAAACAGCTATGGAAGAAATCTTGATGTTTTAAAAGAAATTTTTTTCAAAAAAACTGGGAGGGGGCAAGCAAAGGCAAACAAAATTTCTGGGGGCCAGACAAAAAAAGAAATATCCCTAACAAAGTGCGAAAACGATTGAATAGCTATGGAAGGAATCTTGATGTTTGAATAGAATTTTTTTTAAAAAACTAGGAGGGGGCAAGCAAGGGCAAAGAAGCTTTCTGGGGGCCATTCCATTTCTGGGGGCCAGAAAAAAAGAAAGGTCCCTAACAACGTCAAAAACGTTTGAACAGCTTTTGAAGAAATCTTGATGTTTTAATAGAAATTTCTTTTAAAAACTGGGAGGGGGCAAGCAAGGGCAAAGAAGCTTTCTGGGGGCCATTTCTTTTCTGGGGGCCAGAAAAAAAGAGGCTTATCAAAGTCAGAAAACGATTGAACAGCTATGGAAGAAATCTTGATGTTTTAATAGAAATTTTTTTAAAAAACTGGGAGGGGGCATGCAAGGGCAAACAAACTTTCTGGGGGCCATTGCATTTCTGGGAGCCAGAAAAAAAGAGGCTTAACAAAATCAAAAAACCATTGAACAGCTATGGAAGAAATCTTAATGTTTTAATAAAAAAATTTTTTTAAAAACTGGGAGGGGGCAAGCAAGGGAAAGAAGCTTTCTGGGAGCCAGAAAAAAGAGAGCCTTAACAACGTCAAAAACAATTGAGCAGCTATGGAAGAAATCTTGATGTTTCAATAGAATTTTTTTTTAAAAAACTGGGAGTGGGCAAGCAAGGGCAAACAAACATTCTGGGGGCTATTCCATTTCTGGGAGCCAGAAAAAAAAGGATGATCCATTAGAAAGTCAAAAAACGATTGAACAGCTATGAAAGGAATCTTGATTTTTTTATAGAATTTTTTTTTAAAAACTGGGAGGGGGCAAGCAAGGCAAACAAACTTTCTGCGGGTCAGACAAAAAAAGAAATATCCCTAACAAAGTCCAAAAATGATTGAATGGCTATGGAAGGAATCTTGATGTTTCAATAGAATTTTTTTTAAAAATTAGGAGGGGGCAAGCAAGGGCAAAGAAGCTTTCTGGGGGCCATTCCATTTCTGGGGGCCAGAAAAAAAGAAAGGTCCCTAACAACGTCAAAAACGTTTGAACAGCTTTGGAAGAAATCTTGATGTTTTAATAGAAATTTCTTTTAAAAACTGGGAGGGGGCAAGCAAGGGCAAAAAGGCTTTCTGGGGGCCATTTCATTTCTGGGGGCCAGAATAAAAGAGGCTTATCAAAGTCAGAAAACGATTGAACAGCTATGGAAGAAATCTTGATGTTTTAATAGAAATTTTTTTTAAAAACTGGGAAGGGGCAAGCAAGGGCAAAGAAACATTCTGAAGGCCTTGTTTTTTCAGGGAGCCAGAAAAAAAAGAAAGATCCCTAAAAGAGTCAAAAACGATTGAACAGCTATAGAAGAAATATTAATGTTTCAATAGAATTTTTTTAAAAAACTGGGAGGGGGGAAAGCTAGGGCAAAGAAGTTTTCTGGGGGCCATTCCATTTCTGGGAGCCAGAAAAAGAGAAAGATCAATTAGAAAGTCAAAAAACGATTGAACAGCTATGAAAGGAATCTTGATTTTTTTATAGAATTTTTTTTTTAAAACTGGGAGGGGGCAAGCAAGGCTAACAAACTTTCTGCGGGTCAGACAAAAAAAGAAATATCCCAACAAAGTCCAAAAATGATTGAATAGCTATGGAAGGAATCTTGATGTTTAAATAGAATTTTTTTTTGAAAAACTAGGAGGGGACAAGCAAGGGCAAAGAAGCTTTCTGGGGGCCATTCCATTTCTGGGGGCCAGAAAAGAAGGAAGGTCCCTAACAACGTCAAAAACGTTTGAACAGCTTTGAAAGAAATCTTGATGTTTTAAAAAATTTTTTTTTTAAAAACTGGGAGGGGGCAAGCAAGGGCAAACAAACTTTCTGGGGGCCATTGCATTTCTGGGAGCCAGAAAAAAAGGGGCTTAACAAAATCAAAAAACGATTGAACAGCTATGGAAGAAATCTTGATGTTTTAAGAGAACTTTTTTTTAAAAAAATGAGGGGGCCAGCAAGGGCAAAAAGGCTTTCTGGGGGCCATTTCATTTCTGGGGGCCAGAAAAAAAGAGGCTTATCAAAGTCGAAAAACGATTGAACAGCTATGGAAGAAATCTTGATGTTTTAATAGAAATTTTTTTTAAAAAACTGGGAGGGGGCAAGCAAGGGCAAACAAACTTATTGGGGGCCATTCCATTTCTGGGAGCCAGAAAAAATAGAGCCTTAACAAAGTCAAAAAACGATTGAACAGCTATGGAAGAAATCTTAATGTTTTAATAAAAAAATTTTTCTAAAAACTGGGAGGGGGCAAGCAAGGGAAAGAAGCTTTCTGGGGGCCAGAAAAAAAAGGAATGTCCCTAACAACGTCAAAAACGATTGAACAGCTATGGAAGAAATCTTGATGTTTCAATAGAATTTTATTTAAAAAACTTGGAGTGGGCAAGCAAGGGCAAATAAACTTTCTGGGGGCTATTCCATTTCTGGGAGCTAGAAAAAAAGGATGATCCATTAGAAGTCAAAAAACGATTGAACAGCTGTGAAAGAAATCTGGATGTTTTTATAGAAATTTTTTATAAAAAACTTGGAGAGGGAAAGCAAGGCAAACAAACTTTATGCGGGTCAGACAAAAAAAGAAATATCCCTAACAAAGTCCAAAAATGATTGAATAGCTATGGAAGGAATCTTGATGTTTCAATAGAATTTTTTTTAAAAATTAGGAGGGGGCAAGCAAGGGCAAAGAAGCTTTCTGGGGGCCATTCCATTTCTGGGGGCCAGAAAAAAAGGAAGGTCCCTAACAACGTCAAAAACGTTTGAACAGCTTTGGAAGAAATCTTGATGTTTTAAAAGAAATTTTTTTAAAAACTGGGAGGGGGCAAGCAAGGGCAAAGAAGCTTTCTGGGGGCCATTCCATTTCTTGGGGCCAGAAAAAAAGAAACAGCGCTAACAAAGTAGAAAAACAATTAAACAGCTATGGAACAAATTTTGATGTTTAAAAAGAAAATTTTTTAAAAAACTGGGAGGGGGCAAGCAAGAGCAAACAAACTTTCTGGGGGCCATTTCATTTCTGGGGGCCAGAAAAAAAGAAAGATCCCAAACAAAGTCAAATAACGATTGAACAGCTATGGAAGAAATCCTTATGTTTAAATAGAATTTTTTTTAAAAAACTAGGAGGGGGCAAGCAAGAGCAAACAAACTTTCTGGGGGCTAGACAAAAGAAGAAACATCCCTAACAAAGTCCGAAAACGATTGAATAGCTATGGAAAGAATCTTGATGTTTAGATATAATTTTTTTTAAAAACTAGGAGGGGTCAAGCAAGGGCAAAGAAGCTTTCTGGGGGCCATTCCATTTCTGGGGGCCAGAAAAAAAGAGGCTTATCAAAGTCGAAAAACGATTGAACAGCTATGGAAGAAATCTTGATGTTTTAATAGAAATTTTTTTTAAAAAACTGGGAGGGGGCAAGCAAGGGCAAACAAACTTATTGGGGGCCATTCCATTTCTGGGAGCCAGAAAAAATAGAGCCTTAACAAAGTCAAAAAACGATTGAACAGCTATGGAAGAAATCTTAATGTTTTAATAAAAAATTTTTTTTAAAAACTGGGAGGGGGCAAGCAAGGGAAAGAAGCTTTCTGGGGGCCAGAAAAAAAAGGAATGTCCCTAACAACGTCAAAAACGATTGAACAGCTATGGAAGAAATCTTGATGTTTCAATAGAATTTTATTTAAAAAACTTGGAGAGGGCAAGCAAAGGCAAACAAACTTTCTGGGGGCTATTCCATTTCTGGGAGCTAGAAATAAAGGATGATCCATTAGAAGTCAAATAACGATTGAACAGCTATGAAAGAAATCTGGATGTTTTTATAGAAATTTTTTATAAAAAACTTGGAGGGGGAAAGCAAGGCAAACAAACTTTCTGGGAGCCAGACAAAAAAAAGAAAGATCCGTAACAAAGTCCGAAAACGATTGAACAACAATGGAAGAAATCTTGATGTT